GGCAGTGGCCTGTGGAAAGGCCACACTAAATTCTCCTGCGGGCCACAACTCCGTCACAAACCTCAGCTCTTGGGGGTGGGTGGCAAATCAGGGCCATGTGGTTTCCATCTGAATTACTCTGATTCTCATTAATTTATACTCCGACCTCTTCTTAAAAAGATTTAAGGAGGCTTTAAAATCCAGCAGGAAAGAACACAAAGAAAAGTGAGGAAGGGGAGAAGATAAACAGGAGGCCCAGACTGCTCAGAAAGGCATAGGCAGAATGTTGTTCCAGAGTCTCTGCTATGCCCTCTAGCCACTGCCCACTCTCCACTAGTGGTCAGAACAAGCAAAAGGAACTCGAGATTACTGCTCTGAGGGCCCCTCCCACATTCCTGGCATGCCTGGCCCTTCAAAGTTCAGGTACAGGTGGGGCGGCAAGTGTCCCAGTGGCCCTGGTGGACTCTTAAAGCCTGAGTCCTTCAACCCACAAGAGAGCTGCCCTAGTAAGACAACAGGCAGGCCTGTGTGTGTGGCTGGGCCAGAAAGAACGGGCCACCTCGCAGAGCCTGAGCGCAAGCAAGTGGTCTTCCTGGAGGGGCATCTGGCCACACTGCGATGGGAAGGAGCTGGTGAGAGGGCTACCTGGAGCAGGAGGCCTTACACAGTAGGCAGGCCCCCAAAGGAGAAGGGGGCAGAGTACTATGAGGGCACAGACAGGCGGCGCAAGGAGGCGACCGTGGAGACCCCAGGAGAGGTGGGCCTCCACAGAAGGAAGGACACATAGATGGAACCAGAGTAGCCTGTTTCTCCCGCTGGCGCCCCGCCCTCCCGGTCCTGCTGTGCTAGCCACTGGGGTATGGGCGCGCAGCTCGCCGCCCCACGGCCCGCGCTCCTGGAAGGTCTGATTGCAGGAGACTCCAATTCTGCTTCGATCCAGAGTCCCCTTTAAAAGTTTGTTGCCCAAATCGAATCCCTCTTTTGCCCTGCCGAGGGAAGCGGGGCCATCCTCAGGGGAAGCTCTGCAGACAGACGCGGCCTCCCTCCTCTCCTTCGGAAACAACGGGGGACATGCCGAAAGAGCACCAGGGAAGCGAGCGTGGAAAATCCTCTTATCTCGCAACGTCTACTGCTGGGCGCCCGGGCTGCCCTGCCGCGGCGGTGGTGCCCCCGCACGCCCTTCCTTGGGACTGCAGCCCAGGAGGGAGGGCGCACAGGTTGATCTCCTGGTTCTCAGACTTCGAGGAAGAATGGTGGGTAGGGTGGGAAAGCTTGCATTTGGATTTTGAGGCTATTTTAGGTTCAAAGCAAATTTAGATTTCATTCCTAAAGCAAAAATTTTATCGCGGCTTGCGCTTTCCCGGAGCAGAAGTACAATGACCTGTTTTTATGTGATCATCACTTCCTACCACTAGCTGTGTTTTTTTTCTTTTTCTTTGAGATTAAGTCAGAGACCTTACTGTAAAGAATTTATGTAGTGGATGTTCATGAGACAAAGATAGTCACAGAGCAGAAGAGTTGCGATTGCTTTTGCCTGAACTCTGAAACACTCAAGGCTGGGCGCTGCCTCCAACAAACAATTAGGCCTCTTTATATTCAGATACAATCTTAGGACCAAGGGGAACCTTGGCAGCCCCACAGATCATGTAGGGAGAGAAAGGAAACAGCAAGTGAAGAGGACCTACTGATTGCCAGCCAGGCTGTTGGCTGTGCTCTATGACCTCACTTCAAATCTGCAACTGCCCTTTAATGAACAAGTTTCTGCCAGTTTTTCAGGGGACAAAACTGAAGTCTCAAAGTAGGGAGTAGCTTGATGAAAGCTTCCCGACCGGCCAGTGAGGTGTAGTCTGCATTCCAACCTGCTCACATGTTCACTGATTGAAGCAACTCAACTCAGGATTAGTGGCTCATCTGACTTGACTTTGAGGTAGGAGAAACTTATCTGCAGCCTGGGGACCTCAGTACATGTGCAGCACTTAGATCAAAGGAAAATGGAGTAAAATCCCATAGCCCAGTAGGAAGATTTTCTCCTCCTAAGAAAACTCTAGAAAGGAAATCCCCAGCTAAATAGGGGGTTCACTATCAGCCATTCCAGCAGCCATTAAACAGCTTCTCTGGAGGAACTGTTTATGTGTGGGTCAGGCTGCTCTGGCTCCCATTGAAGCTCATGGGAGGGACAGCCACCCACTGGGGACCCTGTGTTAGGCCTTTCTTTCCAATCTGGGCCTCAGTTTCCCCATTGGGACAGTGAGATTGTCACCAGATGAGGCCACAGATGGTTCTGGTGGCCTTTTGATAACACTCCAACTTTCTCCTGAACACTCTGGACCCATATTCCTAACTGGCAGCAAAGACAGTTGTCAGGAGCTGAGGAGTAGCCTCTCTAGACCCTCTCACAGCTCCCCACCCCAGCCTTGGCCCCTGGCATGAGAGAGCTGAGGTTAGTGCAGGGGTGCATAAGAGCCAGCCTCTGGAGCCCGGCAGCCCAGGATCAGAATCTCATCTCTGCTGACTCACAGGAGTGACAGCAACTTGGCTGACCCTGGAGAACACCCATGGGCTCCATGCTAGGCTGACACCAGGGCTGAAGGCAGGGGTGCCCACCCATGCGTGAGGCTTTTGCTCAGGCTTTATTCACCCTGCTCTCCTGGGTCAGGAGGAGGAAGCACCAGTCCACCATGTGACCTAGGCCAGGGTCTTCACCGGCTCTGAGCCTGTTTTCTGTAAAACGGCTTGCTGATGGGATTAAGAATGACACATCTACCATAGTTCCAAATGAAGAGCAGCCTCAATTGTGATTTACCATTGATAGAGGATTGTCATCTGGGTAAGGATGCCTCATTGGTTGATCCAGGGCAGCTCTGCCCTCCAGGCCCATGAAGGAAGACTCCACAGGACTCCCTAAAGATGGGTCAAGTGACTGCAGGCAGAGGTGGGAATCTCCTAGCCCAGGTGATGTCAGCCCCACCTGTGCCAGTCCCACTCTTGGCAAGAAGGAATCATTCCTGGGGAATTCTGATCACGCTGCCCCAGGCTTCCCTGGGCCAGGGGCAGTTTAAAAGCAGCTAAGGATGGGCAAGGGCTTTGGGACCCAAGGTCACACCAGGACTCACCATCCCCCCTCCCCTTAACAGCTCTAAGTCGCTCTACCTTGTGTTCAGGATGCTGCACCCTTCTGTCTGGAGTGGCTGTTACTTCAGTCCCTTTTGACAATCGCATGTTCCCCCCATAGTGAGTTTTGGAGTGTCGGTGGGTGATTTTTTCAGTTCTCTAGGTTTGCTTCCAGGAAGGCTTTCTGGTGTAATTTAATGTATTTTTAAGTTTTACCAATACAATTGACACAATAAAGCCTCACAAACCCTCTCTCCATGCTTTCGGAACCCCCAACAGAAGGAAACCAGGGACCCCCTGGCAGAATATGGAATGGGCATTTGAACCCAAGTCTGTCAGCTGTACTCCCTCCCAGAGGCTACTCTGGGTGAGTCAAAACAATAGGGCCACCCAAGCTGACCTGCGCTGAGATTCCGTGACAGTCATTTCACACCCAGCCCACCTCTTTCTCTGTGGAGGTATCACTACTGTGGGTATGAACTTGGCCCACTCTAGAAGCCTGCATTCAGGTGGCGCCTGAAGAGAAGCCCTGTATAGCGACCCAGCTAGAGGCCGGGCCCACCAGGACACCATCGAAGGCCAGACAGGCCCAGGGCCACCAGATCTTACCACGAACCCAACAAAACTAGAAGCTGGAATTTTTTTGTGAATTTTTGCACCTTTAAAATACTGGCTCAATTTTTTACAACTTTTTCGTTGGGGTTAAAATAAACAATCTGAGGAAAATGCACATTGCAAAGAAGGAAGGACTGCATAAAGCTGGCCAGAAGGCCTTTGTAGACACTTAAGCATTTCTCCATGACGGGCTCTGACTCATTGTCCCAAAGCCCCGGGGAGGAGAGGATGTAGTCCCACCAAGGCCGCTGGCCCAGGCTCTGCGTCCCCAACCCTCCCTTCTCTCCCTGGCCTTTGTCCGCTGCTCCGACCCCGACTGGCGCGATGCTCCTTGCCCTTACTGCCCCCAGGTCCCTCCAAGTGCAGCCGGTCTTCAGGCTTTTGAAACTTCAGAGCACCAGTATACAAAGTCAATGCCTCTCCTTCAGAGAAGTGGGGAAAGAGCTATGCCACCCGCAACGGGGACCTGGGGATAGGGGAACCCAGGCCAAGGGGCCCTGGCCACTGAGCGCCCCTTCCGCCCAAAATAGTCGTTGCGCCCCGGCTCCACGTCCTCCACGTTCCCCAGCCGTTCCCCCACGCCTCTGCGCAAGGGAGCCGGTTCCCATTCTGTGGCAACCCGTCTTGGACAGGCCTCCCTAAGGCCAGAGACCAGGTACCAACGCCAAGTTGGGGCCTGCTGCCCTGCGCGTTCTGAGGCGGCGCCGAGGACCCGCGCGGGCGGCGACGGCAAGAGGCGCCACGGGGGTTCCTTTAGAGTTGAATGACTTTTTCCCAAATCTCATACATTACATTCTATATTTATTTCTTGCTCAATTGCATATTCTTTTCAGAGATTTGTTCTTTCATTCTCTAGTTAAGGTAGAGGCAATTATTTTTTCATT